GAGAAATCTCTCAAGATTTAGAGTAAATAGATATTTACAAACGATCATATATCTTACATATAGAATTACTACTTTAATCATAAGTTCTTACAAATTTTATGAGAAAAATTACGATCCTTACGATTTTACCTAGAATTGATTCATCAGTTTTTTTCGGCAGCTCGTGGTAATATCGTGACAATACTTCGATAAGTTTCCCAGTAAGACGGGACAAAGAAAAAGTATGCCACTTTGTTATCGCAACGACGCTCGGCAACCCGATGCACAGCTATGTAATCATACATGTAGCACGCATGGCGCTCGGATCGAAGTCACAGAGGACACAACGACGCACGAATATTATAATCAATAAGAAAGCAGCCTGCTGTTTCTCGAAACAAATGGCTTTTGAGCAATATTAAATGAAAACAGACCGAGAAATGTGCAACACAAATTAAAAGAACGATCAAGGAGTCTTATTGCTAGTATCTAATGGATTTTACTGACACGTACATTGTCCGGCGCAAATTACGCTATAAATGGCCAGCGTCAAACCGGAAGTGCACGGTTCTTGCTCTATATTTCTTGTGCGCCTCATTCATCTGATCGATCGTAAAAGAAAGAAAGAGACAGCAGTTTTTGTAATATTAATCGCTCCTATACATAGTAAAATTCTTAATGATAAAGTTTAAGTCGTGAAGTTTCAAAAAGTTCTCGGAAGTCCACTTTTTTATACGACAGTCTTGTACGGTATGTGAAGCAATGTAAAAACAGATAGATATAAATTATAAAGATATAAAGATATCTTTCTGTAATATTTCTTTTTTTTTTCTTTTATAAGGACACGTATTTCTTAGAATTTCTACCACCCTCCCTAGATAGAGACACAAAACTAAAAGACAGTTCAGACGACCTGTTAGGGTGGTTTGCGACAATCTAGTGGAGGCTGCGGACCGAAATACGCTCGCACGGCCAATTCTCACCAATACCAAAATGCGTTCTGATGCACGTGCAACCAACCACCACCTCGGAAGATGGCCGTGCTATTTCAGGCAGACTAGCCAGTGCCATGTAGCGAATCAGGACCGTATTGCACATTTAGTTCACCCTGCAGAGATTGTTCTTTTGCGGCCGTTCTATCTCGATTTTAATTCACCAAACATCATCTGTAGCTATATGGCTCTCAGTGTTTTAAAAAGAAAGCAAAAGCATTATTAGATAATGGCCAGCAAGCGCTAACGATAAATTTTGAAACGTCAAGTTTGACGATTATCTTCCACGATATCGACGAGCAGAAATTGCACTTCAGTTAGATTAAAGGTTCCCATTTCGTGCTTCCTACATGACAGATATATGCTAGGATAACCCCCTCCTCCCCTCCCCCCTATTCCGTGTTAAACTACGTTAAATCCGACTTGCACTACCAATACTCTCTATCGGGAAATGAAATTTGTGGAGACTATCGATCGTCCCATGCGCAAAGCAGTAAGAGAAACAAATGCAAAAAAAAAAACAAAACGCTTTGCTTCACAAAATAATGCGTTATTCAAATGTATGTTAAATAGACATTAGGTATTTGTGCATCGCCATCAATCCAAAATGGTATCTGATTCATAATTTATTTACACGAGATCGATCCAATCGAGATGAACTTTTTCGACGATTCCCCGATCGCCGGAGGATAATTAGTGTGAATTAACTTACGAAGTTATTTGCTTATGGAATGATTCTTGACTAGAACACTGTCGAAAGTTGCAGTGTAAATTAGTAGGACGAGAATTAGAAGCTCGATAATAATTAATCTGGGTCGTTGCTGACGGATACGCGATATATTATGACGCGATCCACTTTTCCGCGTATTTATTATGTAATGCTGTTCAGTTAATGTCTCTATGGAATTTGATAGCAACTTAAACTATATCTATTCAAAATTCATTAAAACCCCAAGGGATACAGGGACCACAGAGACTTTTCATGCTAAATTGTCTCCACGCGACTGACAACCCGAACTGACCTCGATAACGTAAACACTCTGCGCAAAGTGGATGTCTTCTAAATCGATCCATAGATTTGTGCAGCGAGCTTAAAATCATAAATCTTTTGGATAAAGAAAAAGAGGAGAAAGAGAGAGAAAGAGAAACGCTTCCAACTGTGCCAGGACAAATTCTCGAGAGCTCTTGAAGAAAATATCACTGCAGAGTCGCCATCATGTTAATACATATAAACAAATATATGTATCAGAGTCGGGGAGCATTACTTTTCCGTTACTTTTTATAATAAATGACGTTACAATTTTTTATAACTAAACGCTAAGGTTGGAAAAGTCCTTTGCAAAATTCAACCTTAGCATAACCTTAATTTAATTATAAAAAATTGTAACATTATCATCAAATTGTTTATTATAAAAAGTAACGGACAAAGTAACACTTTCCAATTTTGACATATACTAAAATGAAAAACTATCCAAAAACATCAAGTCAACAGAAAGTCAAAATGATTTTATTTTGATCATATGAAAGTCAAAACAATGATTTTTTGTTACAAAATTTTATTGTTTATTGATGTTATGGATTGAAATAAAATCATTTTGATCTTTTGTTGAATTAATGTGTTCCTTGGGTGATAAAAGACGCGATGTATAGGATTTATTTTTATTATGTTTATCCCAGGGATGGACAATCGGAAGTGCAAAGGAAGAAAAAGTAATTGAGTAATATATAATAACTCTCTTTGAAAAAATAAAGAAATAACTTCCTCGGTTGGCGATCTCTTTCACATCATAAGAATAATTCAAGAAGCATAGATATGCAACGCGCGTGCCAATCTTTCTGAGAAAATCGTCGAGTAAAAACTCATTACCCCGACTCGATACAACGAAGTAGTCTCATAATGCAGAAAAATTTCGCTATAGTCGGGAAATGTAATGTTTAAATATTTACACGCGCACACATGCCCGCGTACTTTTCACGACGATATGCAATTCGTGGGCCTACTTAAAAATTAATTGAAAACGTGCGGTTATACATTCGGACTGACATCGTTGCCGCCGCGACGGCAATTTCGAGGATACATTCGTATACATTGGGCGTCTTGTGTGAACGCCGCGTGACCCACTTGCTTAAACGCTAGCGAAATAATATTCCGTCGTTGCGAAGAGGGGAGACGCCTGGCGTCGCCATATATAGGGTATCCCGTGTCGCATCGTGTGCCTACTAATGACAGATTTCTTGACGAATTGAATTTGCGTGAGATTTTGCAAAGCAAAAATTTGACTTCCTCGTTGTAGGGAATCTTTCAATTTTCGATATTAATTCAATGTCAATTTTGATTTTCAATGTTAATCTCAGGAGTGAATTTCCAATTTTCATTGCCGTTTAATATTATTTTGTTTTTACATTATATATTACATTTGTTTATATATTATATTTATATTTTTATAAATCTAATTATTAAATTGAAATCAAAAATATTGCATTAAATGGGACATCGAGAAAAAAATCTAAGCGGTTTTATTAATATTCATTATTATGTTTTTAACATATTTAATATATATATATCAATGATCAAAATAAAAAAAACACGAGATATCCGCTGTGTTAACACGAATAAGTAACAGCAACGGAACTTGCTGTATGTATTCAAGGCTGAATTGTGTCAGAGAACTGAGAAGAAAAGCATGATGCGTCCCGTTCCAGTGCAACGAAACGTTGACGCGTCTCGTCATCACGATGCATACGAGTGACTTGGTTTGCATGCCAATAAACGTCGTCGGCCGAAACTTTTCGCTGCGACCGCAATACCTCCAGGACGCCGAGCTATTCAACGCAGAATAGAATAACACTCTTTCGAAAGAACAATCCGCTCGCAATGCCCAAGTAGCTTGCTATTGATATGATCTCTCGATGATTTAAAAGTCGCAAGCAACAATACATAATAGTACATAATATTTGATGATTATTAAAAATACAAACTACGTGGATCACGAAAATAACACGCAACATCATTACTTCGCGGAAAGAATTACGCATCTTCCGCACTGCGTCTTTCATACAATTGGAATTCGCGTTCAACTTCTCCGACGGTTTTTTTCATCGATTCGGAATTCGCACGTTCTCCGAAAAAGCAAGCGTAACTGGACGCATTCCATCCCTAAGCGGGGCGCGCGTAACCGCTCGCTTCGTATACGTCGTGACTCACGCAAAACATTTTGAAACACGGTCACGTTTTGGCAAAAACAATACATCTTATTGCCGAGTGTAGGCAACCCGGGAATTTGTCGTAATCTACTGACGTGTCACTTCCGATTTCTAATGCCGACATAGTTGTCGCATATTTTTTGTTCTTTCACTCAGTTATCCTAAAAAAGTTAAAGTCACTAGGTTTATAAAGTACCGCAAACCCTCCATCATTTTAGCTCGAAGACGCGACGATATTCGAACCTATGTATTTGTATTTGTATTTATAAGTTACACGGTGTGTGTATAATGTGTATATGTACGCTATTCGACGTCATTTTGGCTTAGGAATAAAAACCTCATTCGGAACTTTATTAATTTAGTGACAAAAGTCTTACAAAAGTGTCCTCTTTATCACCAATGAACAATCACGATTCGATTTTAACGATCAACTATTCAACGATTCGACTATTATTAGTACGAAAGATTTTGTTAAATCCGTAAAGATAAAATTTAAAACAAAGTTACAGCAAAATCATTGTTACTAACTTCAATTCTTCAGATTCTTCTTTTATCTAAAAAAAAAAAAAAAAAAGAAATTTTTTCGAAGAATTTCTAACTTGTTTAATACAGAATTTAACAGAAAGACGAAAACTTTTGCCTCAACGTAATACTTGAAACTCTCAAAATAAAGTATATTGAATCACGCGAAGAGATTTATATGTTAACACTAAAAAAATAATTTCATCAGCTCTAATGGACAAGGCGGCGTGTAATTCACTGATGGAATGTCCCGCCTCCAACTCCTGTTTCTATTTCTGTTGCGTTACATGGATAATCTTGTAGGTACTTATCAAGGCCAATGGCTCCGCGGCATGCGGCACGGTTACGGGGTGAGAGCGAGTGCGCCGTTCGGTTTGGCTAGCCACTACAAACCTCCAAAGCAAGTAAGAGCATCCTTGACGTCGTTAAGGAGCGCCGATGGAGGACCAGCGGTCGCTCCAACGCCGGAACCCACCGACAGAAGGGATCGACGTGTAGATGATAGTCGAGGAGGATTTGTCCTGAAAGCCAGGAGCGACGATCCACCGGCTCGGAGAAAGAGCCTCACCGAAAAGTCCCTGAAGAAGGGTATTCTCTCGGTAAGACACTTCTCTCGTGAAAGGACGAAGAATTGATAATGAGATTTTTTTAACAGAAATTATCTAGAAGAATATTCTGTCAATAGGGTCTCAAGATACGAAAGCAGAGGAGTACGGGAGATTTGGAGAAACGTGGTACTGGTGGTAGTATCAGAAGTAATGCCAGCTCAGCGTCGTGGATGTCGACCGAGAGCTCACAAAGTCAAGCCTCGGCGTCGGTTCACACAGACAGTAATGCATCCTTTGTCATCGAGGTGGGTCACGACATTTGTGTTCCTCAGTTTCCTTGCGACTCGACAAACCTCTAATCGGATTTTAATTTCGTTTCTGCGCGATCGTTAAATCCGCTTATTCTGATCGTATCAAGAGATGCGAATAACGTTAATACTAGTAACTTGTAGCATAAATGTAGTATATACTCTTGTAGTGTATGAATTTAAAGTTAAAAAGAAATAAAATAATTAGCAAAACGCGTAGTTAATCGCATAATGTCGATTCGCAGGATGAACAGATGGACGCGTCGGTAACTGAGACGTACTTGGGCGAATGGAAGAATGATAAAAGGACTGGTTTCGGCATATCCGAGAGAAGCGATGGATTGCGATATGAAGGCGAATGGTTCAACAATCGCAAATATGGCTACGGTGTCACCACGTTTCGTGATGGCAGCAAGGAGGAAGGAAAGTACAAGAACAACGTGCTTATCACTAGTCAGAAAAAGAAACATCTCTTCCTAATCAGGTCCGCCAAATTCCGTGAAAGGATAGAGGCGGCAGTGAGCGCAGCTCAGCGGGCGAGTAAGATCGCTCTGCAAAAAGCCGATATCGCTATCTCTAGGACGGCAACGGCGCGAGGTAAAGCGGAATTGGCCGATATCGCCGCCGAACATGCCAGAGAAGATTCCGAACTAGCGCAACAAACAGCGAGGCAGTTCGCACCGGACTTCCGGCAGCCGGGTTTAGAAAGGTTACGGAATAGAGAGATACCCAAGTACGTTCCGCCGCCACAGGATTCCGTGCCGGGTAAGAGTATCCTACATAAGGCAGCCAGCGTAGACCAATCTAGCGGCACCACGCCGATCAAGAGTGCCACGATGGCTGTCGATTCCGTAACGACGATAACGACGACGAACGCGACGCCAGCATCCGCAACGAACAACACCGTCAGCAATGTAATGCAATCGATACGTAGGACCAGTGTAAAGCCTCTGCCGCAGAATCAGCTGCCTATGCAAAATCAGATACCGAATCAGGTACCGCTGGTGAATCAGGCATCCATGAATCAATTAAACACTCAACAGACCTCGCTGATCAGTCAAAATCCGTATCAACAGTATCCGTATCAGCAGCAAAACGTGACGCAAAATCCGATTCCGACGAGCCAGTACTCGAACAGTATACCGAACCAGTACCAACCAAATCAATACAGCCAGCAGCATCACCAGTTCGTCCAGAACAATCCGTACCAGACGCAGTATCAACTGACTAATCCATCTCAGGTTGAGCAACAATACTCCGATTATCAGCAACAGCAGCAACAACAGCAACCAATTGGATTGCACGATTTCCAAAATTTGCAGGCTTATCCCACTCAGCAGGTGACTCCGGTAGCAATATTGCTCTCCTTGATCTTTCTTGGCTTCCGCGCACGCAGCTTTCCACGCGCGATAATTCAATTTACTGATTATGATTTATCGAGTTTCATATGCCTATGGCAATGTTGTATTTCTCTGTGTGTATGTGTTTCTTTTTAGATCTCGCAACCGACGTTTATATATAATTCCATGACATTCGTCCAAATAAATCAATTTGGTGCGCAGTTTTATAGTATAAGGAACTCAATAAGTTTCTACACATGCGAGTTTAGTTTCATCGATAAATTTAACATGCGTTTAACAATAGCTATACTAATGACTAATTATCGATAATCCTAACGTTTAATTATTGATATTCCTTTATATTTTTTTGTTTTGCATAATGATAATTAGTTCAATTACGCGTAACATTCTTAATTTTGATTGAAAATTAATGGAAAATTCAACAGCCAAATAGGAACCCATTGCTTCTTCTCTTGAGATGTACGAATTAATCGTCATACGATGAGCCTGCAAAATTTTGGTAACCTCTAATAATGAAATATCGAACAAATACAAGATCTTTCGACATCAATATCGCTTATCTTTATCGAAAATGTAAATAAAAATACTAGATATGTTTGAGTAACATATTGAAATATGTATTCAGTTATGTATTTGTTCGGCTTGTGATTAAAAACATTGATTAGAGCAACATAAAATAATTTCAGACTGTATTACCCAATCAATATGGGCCTGGCCAGATGAATCAGTACAATTCACAGCCAATGTACGCACAACAAACGCACCCGTCGCAATATCAGCCTGATAACATCATGGATACAGCGAGGCCGCCGAGCTCCACGAGTTTACGAAGAAATAGTAGAGTCCTGAGTCCTCAGGATCGACCTGGCATTATTGGTCAAACGCTAAACGACAGGTGCTCTTTTTACAATAGCAATAATATACATAGCAATTTAAAAAGATGTGATTTGTTTTTATTTTTAAGAAATTTTCTATATAACTTTAACTATAAGAGATTTTCTATATAACTTTTATACAACTGCATCGTAGTTCTGTGAAATCATATTTAAAATCATTATTGCACAAAATAAAATATTTTTTACAGATTTCACACTTTTTTTAGATTTGTCGTTTGAGATTATAATTACATTACAAATTAAGATTTTAAGCGATTAATGTGTTATAGGCTGGATCATTACAAGAGACCACCTAGTCGCGACAGTTCCGTAGATCGTTATGCCAGAGCGCATTCCCGGTTAATTGGATCAAGACAACCATCCGTCGACAAAACCATACCGAACCCACCTCCGGAGATGCTCGACAGGTGAATAACATCTAAATTGACATATTAATTGACATTCGAAAAAATTTATTTTGTTTACCACCTGAGATCGTATATGTATTGTATTATAATTCAAAGAAAGATCTAAACTGAAGCCTGCAGTGTTTGTTTTCCTGGATGGCTTGCGTTTTGATAAATTACTAGAAATTCTGCGTTCTCTGTGGTGTAATTCTATAGTAATTTTTATAGTAATTTAGTAAAACGTAAACATTCCAGCAGGAAAACAAGCATCAAACAAACACTATGCCACAGGCTTTAGAGTTGCATTCAGAAATTTATAGAATATCATAAAGGCTATGGCACACAAAAAATCTTAACATTTTGGATTTGCTACTGCTAATGTTATTGCCTTACGTTCTCTATCATTGACCAATTTGCTTACGTCTTGCTGCCTTACATTTTTCTGTGCCTCATGAGCATTTAAATCTTTTATCATGGACGTTTAAATCTTTTTATAGAACTATCTTAGTTCTTTGAAATCAATGATTTTACAATCAACAGATCGACGAGAGCCCCAAGCGCGATAAGAGGAGGGACGCCGCTGAATGGTTCCGTGATAGGCAGCGGCGCCGCGACGCCGACATATGCCGCGCCAACTCCTAACCAGTTTGAGGGGGCTCTCATAAAAAACCGTAGCCTTGGACAGGACATTCTGCCGAGTCCTGGACAGCCTAAGCGTACCGAGAGCCTCTACATGGCTCGTGGACAGTCTGGCGGCGGCGGCGGTGGCGGTGTCAGTGGTGGTAGTAGTGGTGGTGGTGGTGGTGGCGGCGGTAGTGGTGGTGGTGGTGGTGGTGGTGGTGGTGGTGGTGGTATCGTGCCGAAGGTGAGTCCTTATTTTCTTATATGTATTTGTTCTTTTTATCCATTTTATATATACATATATATGTGTATATGTATATATAAACAAACCCTCGCCATGTGCATATATACGTACACCCATACTTTCATCTTATACATCGGGAGGACGTCTTAGCACTTACGTCAGCTACCTCGAAAAAGAATTTTCGAATGTGCCGACTCTACAGATATATCTGTTCTACAGAACTCTACAGATATACTGATAGTTCTCATTCTTCAATATTATGATTGAGTGTTGTTTTAATATTCATAGACGATATTGACGATCCGAGTCAGATAAAAATTTCCATAGAGGATTCTGACATCTCGTGCATTGACGTCATCGGACAGGCAGCATTTTTAAATTATATTCATTCTATGTAAATATTATTATTCATTATATTTCTACCGTGCGTTACATCGACATTTCAAGAGAGTTAATGCCACTATAGCTATCTTTTCAACTGTTCAACTGGTTTTTCGCTGCTTATTCACTTGGAACTTGAATCGCGACGTTCATTTTTTGAATGAATATAAATTTTCCATTCGGATGTGAAATTTTGATGTCGATTTCTCGTGAATGACAAAGATTCGAGGAAATATAATATAATTTGACAATTTGTTTGGCGTTCACTCTGCCAAGAATGAAACGAGATATCTCTTTCCAAAACCAACTTCGGAAATAACTTCGACGGTCATTGTATGTTAAAACAAGATAACAATCGTTCGACGTTGATTTCCAAGAAAATATCACACGTACAAGTCGAACGATATTAGATTTAAATTTTTCTCGCAGCAGAAAACGACTATCTGATATTTTACAGAATTAATAGAATTAGTCTACGCTGTTTTTTCAAAGTCCAATTAAAAGTCAATCTTTTAAATATTTCTCGTTTCATATTATTCGAAGATTTTAATGAAACGATTCTCAGCCAGAAATAATTGGCCGATCAACGTCGAATCGATATTGATTCAACGTTGATCGACCATTCATTTCTGGCTGTTGTACAGAAAATTGCCATAAATTATGAACAATAATCTCCGTCCATTTATGAATAATAATGCAAATAATTATTCATAATGACCAGCGGTTATATTATACTGTACATAATCTCCCAATGAAACTAGAAATTATCATAAAAAGTGATATCGAAAATACGTTATATTAGTTTCACATATCATTCTACTGCGAGAATTCCAAATATAATGATTCCGGAATTATTTTCATAAGCCCGAGTATCATCTCGCCCATGTTTAAACCTTGCATTTTTTTATTGCGATATATTTCTTGCACCTCGCCTGCGTTCTCGACGCACCCCATTTTTTCCCCGTTTTTCCTCTCGTTCAGATTTTTCTCACCATATTCGCCTCTCTTATTATCTAGTTTACCTTACCTATCTCTGTATCTCTTCTCTTCTCTGTCTCTATTTGTCTCTCTGTGTAACTGTGTGGCGTTTTGTGCTGTGTTCTGTGCATGCCATCCCAGGAAGCAGGCTGGACGGTCCCCGCCTTCGCCGCAACGTCAAAGGGCCGCGCAACCCTATAAGTATAAGTATAAAATATGTATACAGAGCGATGTTATGTAAAAATAGCGGTTGGCAAGGAAGCGCAGCTTTCGATAGGCTCACGTTGCATTTCGAGCCGAATCGGAAATAAAAGAAATTACGATTCGCGCAACCCCTATCGCCATTTCCGCCCAACTCACCTCGGCATTAAATATTTCAGAACGAATTAAGTTCCGATAACCAATCTCGTCTCGGGGTAGTTTTGAACGCGCGCATTGACGATATTTTTCTATGAATTTACGAATCTCTGCATCGTCCGATATTACCTTAACTAACAGAGACGCGATTGCGCGGTTTGAACGCTGTGTCCGAATAGTTAATTATGTTAATGCAGCTGTCGAAACAGGTTCGCGAGCGGAATCGATTTGTTCGGTTCCCGTCGGACTGGTTGAATTTTCGCAGTTTACGTATGTTCACTTGATATATGTTGAAAATGTCAGGTAGGTTTCCAGAGCGGGGCCTTATATGAAAATGAGAGAATTTTCTAGTAACGAACATTTTTTTGTGAAAAATTTTGGTGCTATGTTATGGGACGTAACGCTTAATGGAAGAGACATTTGTACCTGGTATAGATTGCTATTAGCTGTTAACTTCGCCGCGATGTCGAACAATAAAGACGCTCATTAATAGAATCGCGGTTGAAGGAAGCGCATTTGAAATGAGCAATGCATATTTATGGGAGACCGACTTATTTTTCTATGGGAACACTGCGAGCCTAGTGAGTGACACGATTTGTTTCACTCACGCGAACAATCTAGAATTATTGTCAATTTTTGATCATCAGCATTAATCCTGGAATAAATCCGTTTCGTATCAACGTTTGGCAATAACGATTAATACTTCGCTATTGCGCAATGAATTGGAGAGAAGATAGCATGTCCCGTTTAATCCGTTGAAACTGATAAAGAGAGCGTGCATTTATTCCAGGATTAAATAAATAGTGATCAAAACGTAGTCGACAAGAAATGGTAGAGCTTAAATATTTTCGAGGTATCTTAGATCGTGTTTCGTCTTGGTCATGAAAGAAGATTGCTGTCGTTAGGCAACGCTATTGAGAAACGGAATTATATGCTAAAGAGAATTAGCAGATTTCGTAAACCGCGCTTGAAAACATAAATTGGCAACGATGCCTCATTGTATCAATTCGAGATACGATCTATCATGCTCATTGAGTAACATGCGAGATCGCCGACGGACCAGTTCAACGAACAATAAATGTAACACTACATGTACAGTTCCTTTCAGCAAGAGAGAAGAAACAACTAAATGCCCTCCGATTTTTATTTTTTTTTTTTTTGCTCGGTACACTATGGTCAAATAAGATTATTAATACGCGCATCTCAGATAAAAACGCGAGTGCATAAACTATCTTTACATAGCATAAAATAAACGGAAGTGTCTGTGTATATGTACGATATATGTATATGTATAGATATTTGCACAGAAAAGATTATGCTAAAACGGAATAATATAATGCGAGTTGGCTCTCTACTTTGTAAAACGATAGAAAAAAATGAAATGAATCCTTGTTCGCGCACAATTCTTCTACATTATATGTAACTTTCCGTTTTTTTTTTCTCTCTTTTGAGAATAGCTATTCGAATTAAGAATTAGGCAATCTACTTTAATTGCATGCGCACATATATGAATATAAACTCGTGCGCGGAGCTGAGCTAAAGCTGGCGCACGCTTATTACGTCCATTAACCGCTAATTAACGGACTTCGGAAGGTAAGCCTAGCGCGTGGCGTGGAGGCGGGGACCATATTTTTGCTCTTCCATTCTATTTTAACATTCCTCTTTAATCATATTTTTAAGTCTTTTTCGACCCTTCTTCCGAGCCCTCTCTCGCTAGTCACCTCTCCTAGATTATTCGCCTAGATTATTCGCTTAGATTACTCGACCGATCGATACCACTCAATCTGTACTCTCAGATATGCTCTAGTTGAATTTTGCCATGTATTCAAGCTCATAACTCAAATGGTCTTATATTTGATTTATCAAATATTAATATTGCTATCACAGAGAGGGTAACTGCTAATTATTATCACTTGTCGAGATTACAAATGTACGAGCTTTACGAGAGATTCATTTATCTACCACCTCCACGCCGCTTCTTTTTTCTGTTTTCTGGTGGTTGAAAACGTTGTTTTTCTAACGCATGCTTGTCGTGAATTCGAGTCTATATATTTGGCGCCAAATGTGCATAGATAGAAACTTGTTAAAATGAAAGTAAAATCGTGAGGGAAACGTTCGATACGAAACGAGCCTTAAGCATGCAGGAGTCTAATTAAATCTACGATATTAGTCGCCGTTGCCGATATACATACGGATGTTATATTGTAGTACAATACTTGTTTCACGCACATCGCGCACGCATAAGAATCATCGCGTAGAATAATTTGCCGCCCACTGTTAACGTGAAGGGAAAGATATGTGCGAAATGCGAAAGCTTATTTTATATACTGAGAAACGAACGCTCTCGAGAAGAAAGAGAACTGGAAACGCGAGTTTTAGAACCGTCTGTGTCAAATATATTTATACGCTTATGATTCTTTATACAGGAAAAACGTCCAGATTACAGACGTATGAATATGTTCCGTGTAAATAAGGCTAATATTCGAATTTATGAGCAGATGATATGATGAAATTATGTATGATAATAAGATTAAGAGCAAATCTTTAACGATCGAATTTGCCAATGATACCTGTAACTGTGAGCCTAATTCTTAAATGGTCTATATAATCGGAGTATAAAATTCTAATTGATAGAAATTATATTGATCGCACAAACAAGATATTACTCTTTGAAGATTTTAATTAAACTATGAAGGAATATTCACTATATTTTCATACAGGACCGATTTAATGATATTTAATATATCTGCGTTAACACCTTAAGTCACAAATCATGGTTTCGACAATAATGATGGTTGCATAAAAAAAAAAGAAATGTCGCGAGGAAGAGTCTAATGATTTGTGCGAGTCAGTCCGCATAAAATGCAACAATATGATGCACAAGTGCAACTTTGAATGCAACATTCCCAAATAAACACTTGAATTCTGACTTAAGCCGTTAATCTACCCATGTGTTCACAAGTTACTCGCTTATAACGACTTTCAAGTATAGTATCGAATTGTTCGGGAAGAAGTAAGCACGAGAGAAGCATCGACATTTCGTCAACGTTGAAAACGTAGTATTTTTCTTAACCTTGCACTCAAGTGCCAACCTTGCGAAAAGCGTTGTTCTGTTTCCGACTTATAAAAGCTTTTCTAGATACTTAATGAGTCAGATATAATCACGTTCTAATTTATAGTGTGACGCACAATTATTTGTAGATGTAGTCGTATAGATGTAGAAGATCAGAGGATCGAAATAGATAATACGCATATTTGCTAAATTTCCAGATTACATTTCGTGAGAAAGTCAATCTTAATGTAGAAACTGTACCGATTTCGTTCACCAAACAACGACGTTGCATTCGATGTATTGAATGTATTTATGTATATTATGTATAAGCTGTTGTTAATGACAGATTAAAGAGAGTATCGCGTAAATCGGACCTCTTACTGCCTTTATTATCTATTGTCATTTTTCAGAAAAGCTAATAAATAATATTCGCCGAGACAAAAAATTGATATTGAATAAGGTATTGGGAACGATTAATGGCTACTGAAGTATGTGCGTTTTATATGATAAGATATTAATATTTTAAGATTCAATTGAGCAATCATAATATTCAAACGAGTTCTATGGAAATTATGGGCAATATGTAGATTCACGAGGAAGATCGCAAACAATGAAGACTGAGCAATTGTATGCAGTTTGCGAACGAGGCCATGGAAATTCCGGTTTTAATATTAATTACTTCATTATCATTTCTTATAATTTGTCAAGTCTCATTCATTATATAGTCAACGTACAAAAACATCGGAAGCTTCAAAAATTACGAAGTATTAACGTTTTCTTTTTAGTAACAAGTGTAATAAAACCACTCATTATTTGTCATTGTTTATTGTTGTGCTGATCCGATTGAAGATAGATTTTATGTCGACGTGGATATAATTGCCACCGTGAAAAAATATTACTTCATTAGCGTCATGCATTAATTAAATTGGATTAAACAATCGATTCAATAAGGAAACTGCCTCGAAGTAATCGCGCCATTAGCGAAGCAAATTAAATCATTGCACCATGCCAATCGAATTACTTCGCCGGGTACAACTAACTAATCTGCAACAACGGGCAGACTGCGCAACGCGATAAATGACAGACAAAGAAATTGCAAATAAGTGGGACGGACGTTTTCTTGGCGCACGAAAATTCCGAAATTCTCGCTGTATTATATATTTCATCGCATGCCAAACGCATGAGTCAGATAATTCGGATCTGGACTTGATTTGCGAAAAACTGTCTCACGATGGTACGATAAAAATTTGCAATTTAAATTTTGAATTCTTTTTTTGCCAATATTTTAATAATTTTAATAATATTTTAATAATTTAAACTTCAAAATAACTTCAAAATAACTTCAGCTATTTCGAAAAGATTTAAGAAAAACTGGAGATTTGTAAGAGATTTTTCGGGAGAAACCGAATAATTTTGCCAACGTCAGTGAACCAAAAGTGGATCGAATTTTGAGATTGGAGCATAATCTTTTTTCATGTCATATTCGCTATTATAAAATCCTCGTAAATCAGTTGCGAGAATCGACAAGGTTCTGGCAACGTCCCGATGCAGATCTCCGCGGGCGTCGCGACGTTCGGCAAAGTTATTTCAAAGATAGTGGGGCATCGCTCTATTTCGGTCGTGCTAGCCAGGGCCGTTCAGTCTGCGGCTCAGCTTCCTTACCGGGAGGCTGCGAATTCGTAATTTACACTTCAATTTGCCTCTTTTCGTGTCCGGAAGTCATCGAAAAATGGCAGAAAAATAAGCGAACGGGTTTCACCCGCTCGAATGCAAACACATATTCGTACAGTTTCAAAAAACATTTCCGATCGAGAAAGAGGCAAAGAGAAAGAAAGCTCGGTGTGAACGGAAGCGCCAGTTGGCTCGATTATTGCTTCCGGGATGATCTTTCGAATTTAACGCGGATTCGAAAAAAAAAAACAGTGTTCACTTAATTTCATAACGATGTAACGTAAAAGTGACAATGTAATGAAAATTATTTAACAATTAACTGTAAACTGTTTAATCACGATATATAACACGGACCTGGTCTATCCTTGCAAATAATATCGGCCGTCAATCAGAAGTATGATAATTGAAGAAAACTGTCACGTACCAACATCAAGAGTTGTAAATCCGTTACAGATTTTAAAGAAAAATTTATGAAATCAACAAGTACATCGTACGAAACAAAAGTGCAATTTTAAAAAAAAAGAAAAATTAAGCCAAGCAAACGGGAATGATTTTCTTCTTCGTGGATGGTTAAAAACTCGAAAAATTTTAATGTATTCTAAGGGTGCCTACGAATCATCGTGAGAATAGAGATGTTTTGGATCGAGGCGGACGAGGAGGAGGAGGCGTTGCTATGCAGCCCCGCTCTGATGGCCAGGCGGGCCTCAGAATCCTGGATCGTAGCACCTCCAGTGGAGGTACGCGAGGCAAATTCACGTTCTAACATTTTAATAACCAAGTTAAGCAATGCGTAAAAGTTCATGCAGGGTGGGTAAACAATTTTCTTTAGAATTTTCTTCTAGAAGAAAGTACGGAACGAAAGATGAGGAAAAAAAATAACGCAATAGGTAACGAACGGGGGGGTGGGGGAAACATTGTTTGCGCGGTCATTAGAGGTGGAATCAGCTGTGCTTAGCGACAACGAAGCACGCTCGATGGAGAGTAGAAAGATGGAGGATTTACGAGTAAAACACGTCGTAATAAACGAGTGCAGTCAGCAAACACAATAGATTGCATAAATATAGTATATAGAAAAAAAAAACTGTGGCCTTGTTTAACTGCTGTTCTTATTTAAGAAAATTACAAGAGATAAGGATATGCGTTATGCGAAAATATTCAATTCAAGACAAGAAGCTTTTTGCAATTTAATATGCATGATTTATTAACAAGGTGTTAAAAAATAGATTCAAGATCTAGAGAGTAGATATTCGATAAATTGAATGACTAGAATCGATTTGTGTAAAAAATTTTATAAATCTATGCCGTTCTATACAAAATTGCAAATAAGTTATATGTATTGATCAAACTAAAAAAACTTTTAATCACACTTATTAAGTCAGTTCGTGCTCTCTAACGATAAATCTTCGATTCTTATTTTAACAACCTGATGAAATATGAAATTATGCATATATTATCGCAACAAGAAATAGAACGTATACATTTATGTAATATTTAGAATTTATTAGTTAATTTGCACATAATGTTTAGAACATCACGCGATGCGTACGGAATTTTTTTATAATCGTGATATGAATGAATTTTTGTAAAAAAGGGAGTTCTTGACTATAATTCAAATTACTTTTTTATTTATTTACTCTTTGCTTAAAATTTAACAGATATATATATAATTTTTTCTTAGAACTACGCTCTTTGAAAAGTTTATTCGTTTAGTCACAATAAATTCGTTTAGTACAATAAGAATGTGAAGGTCGATACGAGTCGTTTTAGGATTAGATCTCTCGGTCTTTGTATCTCACTCAGTGCTCGAAAACTTCGTCTCTCTCTTAGGTTTGGAACGGCTCCAAAGACCCTCCCTTCCGCTCGTGCTCTATCTCCTCGCCACCCGTTGCGTTCGCATGAAGTGCTGAATTAATAAAACACGTAATTACGGGAATTCGTTGCTCTAACATAACCGATTTTGAATCGTTTTCGTGAAGAATGTTGTTAGGATGATAGAATTTGAAGGAGGATTTAACGCGAATCGTGATAATGTAATCCTGTGACCAATACTATGATTGGCTGCACGTAGAAGATTGAATAAAAAACTGAATTGTCTGAATAATCAATAATTTAAAATTCAATGATAGTTTCACGGACCGATATAAAACAGAATTGTCTAACTTTTGACATCACGCAAACGAGCAAACAGAAATTCGAACAAGAGAAACGCTGATATATATACAGTTCTGATATAAAACAAAAGCTTCAACAAATACAATGGAAACATGTTAATAAGCTTGAATAGAACACAAATTAAAAAGAGTTTTCTCATTTTCTAGAGTGTAAAAAAATGAGCAATTTTTGCAAATTTAAAAGAAAAATCTGCACAAAAATAAAATTATTTAAATACATTGTACAATTTTCACTTTCTTAGTTTACTTGACTCTCAATCAAATACTTATAACTTCATCAATTTTGTAAATATGAACGACATGTATTTAAAAATTTGCAACATGTATTTAAGAGTTAAAAATACAACAAATCCTTGCACATTACATATTCACGAAACCGATCTTCAAACATTGGACTTTATTAAAAATAGATGTTTAATTAAAATAACTAAATACGTTATTTCACCTAGTTTTGAACGTTATTCCCTGTATATAAGAAGTATATTCAAAAGTATAATTGCTATTGCTTGACAATAACTCCGTTTTTTTCTTTCCGTTGTATACCCGTTTGATGCTATATAAAACGTTAAGGCAATGTACATAGTGTCGATAAGTAATTCGCGTTCATCGCTCGAGGCCCATCTTTCTTTTTGTTTCTCGTTTATTTCCTTCGTGCAGGCGATGCCAGTAGCGGCAATGCCCTTTCAACGAAAGAAGTCACTGCCGGACGTAGCACAGCCGATCCAGCTCACGGCCACCTCACCATTGTCGAGGGAAGAAGTCAGTTTTCTGAGCAGTATGAGGAGAGAGGAGATCCGCAGGCAAGTCGACGAGAGCGAGAGGCTCAGAGCAAACCCGCTTTTGTACCTGGTCAGTCCGCAGGTTAAAGTGAGTATCCTCCGTGTTTCTACCTGATCGTCGAAACTATTATCGATGTTGACAATGGCGCGGCATCAATCCTCGCCGTTTCAAAAATAAGAGAAAACACGGAGCAGCACTTGGCAGAGTGTTACGGTTTATTTCGGATCAAGTCCTGTGCGTCTCGACTTGTTACGCAAAAATATAACGCACCACGAGAAACGCGACGATTCTAAATAGGTTCTTGCACGGTTCTCGAAATCAGCATCTGCTTGATCCAATTTCGCAATCGCGAGTCGCGAGTATAAACCGAATGAAATCACTCTTGTGCATGTATCTCAAGATGATGAATGAAATATTTTATACTTATTCTGCAATAGCCGTAAACGTTGTAATTAGTTGCAATTATAAGAATTGATCAATCAAGGAGAATGTGAGGAAAATATTCGAGTGTAATTGGTCATTTCTTATAACTAAAACCACACTTACAACTACACTTACGGCTATTGTAGAACAGGCATAAAGAATCATCTACATTAAGAGTAACATTGTGTTGTAAGATGTAAGCCGTAAGAAATCTACCAATTGAATGTAAAAAGAGTAATTGATTTATCGCAAAGTTAAATGGCTCGCGATAGGAAAACTAATAAAGTAATATCCCATACTGTTGCAGGACTGGTTCTCCCGCCAGCAGCTCGTGATGCTGGTGCTCTTCATCAACATATCTCTAGCTTTGATGTTCTTCAAACTGCTGACGTAGCAGCCAGCCGACGATCGGGTTCACGGACTCGTGAACGTGGACGTGACCTGAGACCTGGTGGCGCCGTGACACTTTGGGTCGTCACCGAGCCAGAATTTCGAAGGGAAACGGCAATGTGGCCGCACCAAGAATCGCCGGGAATGGCTTTCACCAGCGGTTCATTCAGTCTTACGCGCCGCGGGCGCTACGTTAAGAGAGGAAATCTTTGAATTGGGACCGACGAAAAGGAGACTCGAAGAGGATCAATCTCGGCGGAGATTTTGTCGCGCGAAGGCGGCCGTATAGTCGAATTTCGAGCGATCGCGAAAATCTAAGTAGATGAGTAAATAGAGGGAGCAGCATTGAGGCGAGAAAATATCTCCGAGATATTTTCGAAGAGATTTAAAATGGATTTATCTTTGAATATTGTAAATTAAAAAGGACTTAAGCTTCAAAAGAAACAATAAAAGAAAAAGTTCAACAGGGATTTGAAAGAATTTGAATGATGAGTGGAATTCTCAAAGATCTTTTGTAAAATAAGAATACTTGTCTATGACAAAAGTTTTCTGACAAAGCGTTTTAGACATTTGCCGCTTAGACCCTTTTTAATTGGCAGGCTAATATTTATTGGTCAAAAATTTTGGAGAAAAAAAAATGATGAAACACCTAAGCGCAGTTTGTCATTTGCGCGAGAGGGAAACATCAACAAATCTTTTGGAAACGGGGAGTATGTACTCCCGCAACGCCTGTGTATCATACCTATTTTTACACCAAATACTTTAATAACGCTACTTGTAAGAGTAGGTCGAGCCCTTTCGGGCGGGCCATCGATCGATCGTATCCGATGTACGAATCTTCTTCTCTAGTCATAATTTTCTCTTTTCTGACGATCGGCTCGAGCGCAGTAATAGCGACGATCGAATTGTACACGATCGACTTTTTAACGAGTCAGCCGCTTGTCGACCACTTCTAATTAAGACTGGCGCTGTCGAATTTAAAGCGGTATAGGTATAGGTACTCAGCGGTATAGTTGAATCATCCGAATCGTACTTACGGCTATTTCCTTAAAAGTAGAGATTGTTATACTTAGCAATGATCGTAATTGTAGCCGTGGTGCCGTGCGCGTAAAGATTCGCTAACGCGCATCCGAGCATTTATAACGTTCCACAACGATTATACGGTAAACTAAGGCGTAAGTTTATAAACAGAAGAGACATAGAGAGTTGTCATACTTTAGAGAGTCGTCGAACTTTTACAAGCCCTGCGGGATTATAGTTACAATTACTATCGTTGAATGTCGATGATTGAGATTTGAATCCATCGTATCTTGTCTAGAATTACGAAGTTTCCCGATAACGAAATATGAATATGTCAACCTGAATATGAACCTGCGCACAAATTGAAAGAAACATTTTCGCTACGAATATGAAGGCCGCGAAGCGCAGCACCTATGAATAATACACGTAATGCATAAAGCATAAGAAAACTGATCAGAGTCTTTCATTTCAAAAAAGAAAAGAAAGGAAATGAAGGACTTTGGTTGATTCATTTTCTCATACATTATGCGTTATGCGAAACTCTGTACTTCCGCTCTTCTTCTCACCTTTCGGTGTGAGATCGAAGGTTGACGTGCGCTTGTTTTTCCTGAAACAACGACACGAAGAATTGACATTGTTTTCTCTGAAACGCTTTTTTCTACGTCTAAGAAAAATATTAGCGCTAAAAATGCGAATGATTCATATCGTAACAATCGCGCGCACGCAATCGCGATAACATCATTCATCGAGACGCAAAATCGCAATCTCTGTAACTGTATATACAAGTGATTCTTATCGACTGAACTAGTGTCCAGTCTGCCACCAAATTTAGAAGCAAATTAAACATGACTTTCGATAAAATCTTGTGGACGTCTCGAGAAAGAAGATAATCATCCCATGACTATTATTCGACACGTAAAACTAGTATCAAACGCTCTTTGATCCATGATATCGGCGGTTCGCTGACGTTTATCTCGTATTTCGCGAAAACGCACAAATCGCGAGAGAGTTATCTCTCGTATTCCTTCTCACTATTTCGCGACAGATCGACGATCGGCCTTCCTGCGCTCGAGCGACCGTATTTTTTCTAGCCTCGAGGGCATAGCTTGTATATCTCTAGGTAAATTTGTAAATAATCATGTAAACGCCGATTGTGTGCGATTGCAGACTTTGTTCACAATACGCGATACCGTTCTCGCGTGATCTCGGATACAATTTGGCCGGAAAGCGAGGACTACCGATAGTCGAGATCACTTTTTAACTCGAAGGATCTCACTTTGGTTCATAGCGAAACTAAGCTTCTCTCTTATTCCTCTGCTTTGACAGTGCCAATGACGTAGCCAGTGTACTTCCGCGAGGATAAATTTGATCGGCGACATATATGCATTCGCGTTCAAATTATGCTCCAAATCCGAAAATATTGGTTCAAACGCGAACACGTGACTCGAAGTTAATATAATACGTTCGATTAAGATGCAACGGGATGATATTTTCGACGCTATCCATATTGAAATTGCGAAGAGCACAAAAAAAAGAAATTATTTTTGTCTGTCATTTCGCTAAGTAAATCGAACGAATCCATTTACAGGATTACAAAATTAATGCTGGGTTTACATCTGGCATCTATCTCTTGATGCACGTTTGTGTCTGACTGTAACGGTTAATTTATTATAAATAATTTCTTTCTAATATTCAATAATAAAACAGGATATTAAATTGAGAGAAATATCGAATAAAAATGTCAAAAGTAAAGCCAGTATAAAAAATGAGTGAAATATTCTTAAAAAAAATAGGGTCACGTAGGCAAAAAGAACCGAAAAGAGGATGCATAGGCATACGAAATAAGTTGAATGTTCCAGCTTAGAAGAAAAGGACCGATGGCTTTTTGTCACGAGGTGCATTCGCATAGATACTCTACCTATTACGCACATTCGTCGTTGCGGGTCATGCATTGTATATATATTGCTATTATATATATAAAATTTATTAGTTAGTTAGTAACCGGAGAGAAACTAGAAACGATTTGATATTGAACGTTGGGGGAAAACATCCATCGGGAACAAGAGGAGATTGGAGTCGTGAAAGGAACGAGGCGAGGGTAATTTTTGTCACCGAACAAACCATATCACTTAATCAAAGGAAATTTACGCGATTCGTATTGTTTTATTTATCGAATGGGAAAATTTATTTCGCAATTTACGGTACGATATCATAATATGTATATATTATGATCACGCATATATACATACATAAGAGCATATGTATATTTTACTTGTTATATCTCTTGACTATTATCGTAATTAGGGCGCATATCCCGTTATTATTGTATATTATTATCATTATTACTATTATATTATTAATTATTATTTGGATTATTATTATCATTATTATTGTTATTATCCTATTGAAAAAAAAAAATACGAATATTTAAAACAAAACATGAACGTGGGAGAAATTTTGGTACTTTGGAAAATGCGATAATGGAACCTGAGGCCCATTGCCATTGTTAATTTGCGCAAACAATGATTCAATAAACTTGTATCATAACAGATAAAACTGTCTCTGGTAATTGATTATCACGATACTTTGTTTTGCTATGTCCGAATGATTGTCATCCACGTCGTAAAAGTAAAAGAACGCGAACAAGATCGACGATTTAATTGTCGCAATGACACACATAGCTTTATCGTGTAAGCAAACGATTGAGAATACACAGAATGGTACTTTCCATTATTACTACACATATAATATGTAAGCACACACGCATGTACGCATGAATACTTTCTTTCCAAAGCACGGGTGAAAATCGCAGCGTAATCGAACGATGATTTACGTCATGAACATGCAGAGTGTGTGCTAATCACGTTCATTAAAATAAATGTTTTCTCGCACGTATACGGATGTGTTTACAAACCGACGAATCGAGAACTTCGAATCTGCGTAGTTGCCGAAGCCAGTTGGAGATCGCAAATAGATTGTTGTGGCTTTAAGGTAATATTTTGCAATATGAACATCGTCATGTTGTCGGGAAGTAAATAGATGCCGCAATTAAAAATGCTTACGGTAGCAACGTAATTTTCTCAGTTGAGAAACAACTGAGGAGAGACGACTTCCGGAGCATTACAAGAAATTTACATCGCTAACATGATTGTTGAGACGTCTCAGGGAATTTTCTCGAAAGAGGGAACGTTTTTCTTGCTGGTTAAAATCGAATCAGTCACGAGGATCGGCCCGGCAAAATTGAAAATAAATCGACGGTTATCCTTCCATTGCGTTAGCATGCACTTGATGTTTGCGCGATTGTGCTGTTGCGTCACACATCGAGTGAGACTACGTCTCTATTACCGGTGTCAACGTCATTCGAGTCAGCGAGTAAGTATCAGACGAAACGTGATCGCTTCAAGCGAAGTTTCAATAAATAGCCATAATCGATTGCGAGCATAATCAGTGAGCGACGATATTTTTGTTTAATGCTAGTTTTTCCAAATCGTAGGAAGACCTCAAATCATAAAAACAATGCAGATAATTAAAATACATAATCGAATATGTATAGAGGATTTCGTTTGTATTCGTTTTTGTATTTAAATAGTTGGACTAAGTAAAAGCGTAAACTCGAACTAATTCCGGTATACTCTCTGGCGGTTCATTTGATATTAAAAATGCTTCGAAGCATTTTTGTAACACTAAATCTCTGTCGATCGCGATATACCTATTCAGAAAAAAACATGCCATCATTTTTTGTCTTTTAAACTGAATTAAATGTGGTAGTCATGTGGTAACCATCAATGATCTTCAATCTTCCAACGTTTTTAGGAGACAGTATACCTAAACTCGGCCTTATTTTTGGAACCTCTGGAATTTAAGTCAGAGTAAAAGGAACAGTCTATCTTTAACGCTCATTCGGCGTGGAAGTTAAACTAACAAAGAAATCGGCTTCGAGTATCCCCAACTTTGTGTTTGCAATTTCGAGAAATCAGTCCTTTCACAAGTCGGCTGCTGTATTATTATTGCTCAGCGAGCAATAATAATGCTGAAATACGATATACTTTAATTTTAACTATTAAACAAAAACAGGTGTCGCAATCCTTATCGACTAAGGAATACAATGACTGCAACTAGACACGACTGGAAAAAATATACATGTTTTGATTTGTCTTTCAGTTTGTCTTTAACTCACGACGTCCTTTTAGCTCAGACGATTACGTAACATTTCTAATTTTAGGTGATATTCGTTTGCCAGTTCTCGTATGTAGACATCATCCGGTCTAAGATTTATTAGTATGCAACTGACAAGCTCAAATAAACTACATTTATATACAAAAACGAATTATTACCGGTTTTATCTCGAGTTTCATTCGTTTCAGAATTTATGATCTTGAAAATTAATGTCTTTTAAAAATATTTAAAATATTTAATAAAGTAAACTATAATTGCTATTTATAGATTTGATTGAATTCTATTTAAAAGATGAAAACATTCGTCTCTTCAACCAACAGATAAGTACATGCGATCGATAAAGAGAGTTTAGTTTAGTCGAATTTGAAATTTGTTTGAGTTTCTTTCTTCGTCATTTTTTGCTCGGCCTGATTATAAATGTAAACGAGATTCAGCCGCAGTCTCATATCTTGTCTTAAATGCGCACATGATTTGAAAATTGAGGTCACCTAAGATAATCATCGCAACTGTTCGCGCCGCGAATCTCAAATATTTGTCGTCTAGGAACGTGTGTAATTCGAATCTTATCAAAAACCGTAATCGCGCGGGCGTCCAAATCGAAGAAACGCAGACGTGGCATGAAAGTAAAATCAAGCGCAACACATTACGCACACTGAGAAAAAAGTTGCTATTTCAAAAAAATATTAGTTGATTTAATTAAATGTAGCATCATGGGCTGTCAAGCAAATATTTATTAATTCAACCAAATAATATGTTTTAAATTACAAGATTTTGTTTTTTTTTACAAGATTTAAGTACATAAATAAATATTTGAATTAAATAATCATTATAAACTAAACGCATTTAATCAAGTTAACAACTTTTTTTTCAGTATATATATATATGACACTTAATATGTCCTATCTCCCTTAATTCTTTTACCATTATGTAATCATCATAAAAAGAGATCTAAAATATGCGCACTACTGGCAGATAAACGATAAAAAGCGCAGCCGATAATCCAAACAATTTTACTTATAACGCTGTGGAGCAATGGCATAACGAAGGTAGAAAAAAACGGAAGAAAAAAGACAGACAAGAAAAAAGAAATGTATACATGATAAATGTTCAAACGATTAAGACGCAACAAAGTTCGGCCGTTCTGTTTCCACACCATCACGGCAATGAAGACATTATCTATTGATTCACGTCATTCCGCGTTCGTATAAGCGCCTTGCATTGTAAAATAATCCGGTATTTTCTGGGTCATTAACCGCAGTATCGATCGCTTTGGTATCTCGTCTCGAGGAAACACCATGCAAAGCGACCACTCGTCGACTTTTTACTATCTATTTTTAGCCTAAAATGAAAGAATAGAAATATCTCGTTATTAAAATACATAAAAAAACTTATTTATAAATTAATTCTATAGTTTAATCGAAGCTTTGAAGACCCAGACAAATTTTCATTTTGAATTTTATCTCAAATTCATATACAGTGAGAGCAAAAAGTATTCGTACAAAGAAATTTTGTTATAAAAAAAAGTCTTATTTGTAGAATATAAACATTAATTAGCAATTTTATACAATAAATACATTCTGTTCTAATATAAAGAAAGCTTCACATATATTCTTGATTTTAGAAGCTAAATTTCTCTTGTTCTGTCTGTACGAATACTTTTTGAGCATTCAAATACAATTTTTAATTTTTACTTATTTTTCAGATGATATATTTTCTATAATTAATATACATCTTTTTGGTACATATAATTTTAAGAAACATACAGTCTATTTTATTCTTTTTGAATAAATTGTTATTGAATAATTCAATAAAGAAATAATCATCAATTGAACATCGAATCGACGTCAAATTAATGTTGAAATCATCAATTTTACATCAATTCGATAACTTATTTCTCGCTGGATAATGTTTACTTTTTTGAAAATAAAATTTTTTTTTTAAATATTTTCTCTGTACGAATACTCTTTGCACTCACTGTACATGTACAAAAAAATGAATATAACGTTTCAGGTAATGTCATTGTAAAATCGTATTCTTGAATGTTGAAAGAGTGTATCAGAATTTCCTCAGATTTTTTAAAGCCCGAAAATCATTAAAAAGTACAATCAGATACCAATGATCAATTGAACTAGGAAAACAATGAAGAAAACATTGAACAACGAAAGATCTTTTAAAAACATGATAAACCTGTAAGCTTGTTCTTTTTAGCTGAACTTCTTGCACGATTCATTTTTTCTCTTTTTCTCTCCAACGTAGAAAGAAAAGGAAGAAAAATGAACTTGCGAAAACATCAACCAAAAAGAACAGATTTTATTTTGCGTTTCATGTAGTTACGTTGAAAAAGAATTAATCTCTTTGATCTTGAATTTGTGCGCGTTGAATACCAGATTGTTGAATATTGTCCTATGCGCGATAAAATCGGAAACCAATTATCACATTTGTTCAGAGTACTAACGTCTATAGTTCGATTATTTGAAATTTCGTGTCCTGTAATAGCTTTTCAAAGCGATTATTTATCCAAGAAATTACATATTCGTAGTTCTCTTCCGGATACAATAACGCCAATGATTGAACATTAATAGTATACA